CACCTTCCGGTGCCTAGCTGCCATGCCACCCAGATGAAGCACGATGGCTGGGATACTAGCCCAAGCCTAGACAGGGGAAGTCGAGTGGCAGAGGTCGGGTTTGAACCACAGACCTTCCGGTCAGTAAATGTGCGCTCTAACCACTTGGGCCATCTCTCCCCCAACTCCAACTAGGGTGAGGTGATGATACAATTCCCTTCAACAAAACCGTCGTTATCTGTCATAGTTGCTAAGTTGAGACAATGATGATATGCTCTGGGTTGATTTCAGATGAGAGAGGTCGGTTTCGAAGTCTATACCAGCGACTCGGTTCCAGCGTGTTGTTTCTGAAGTTAAGTTTTGTCATCGTTGACGAAATAATTGGATGAATACTTGCATCCAAATCGTTTCTAGAGAAAAAAATTGACGACCTAAAGTGTGCAGAAGCCATCGATTCAGTGCTACACGCTTTTTTCACTTGTGCCTTTGAGGTGAACGACAGCCACTGGCCGACAAGAACAAAACCGATCCGGAAACTTGAGCAAAAGCCTCGATCCGGTGTATCAATCGGTGAATCCGTGATCCAGATTGGCTGACATTCTGACCAATGAGAGCATACCCTCGTTTGGTCCGTAGCCCGCATGTGACACATCCATCAAATTGACATAATGTTCAGTCGTTAGAAGTTGCTCGCCTCCGGACTGGGAGCATGTGACCGATTGAGCGCAACCTGTGGAGTGTGATCAGTTCGTCTCGTAGGTAATTTGCGCAGAGGACATCGTTGTCGTCTTCGAAGAAGTGATAAATTGTGGCTGTTTTGGACGAACCAGTGCATCCCTCTTCATTAGGCCTACGCTTTGCTTCGGTAAAGTATAGGGACCTGACTCCACATATGTAGTCGCTGAGGACGCCACCTCCAGTGTAAGGACAGTCACTCGAGTCTAAAGCGTTCTACCTATCTTGCAGGTTGCCATGTATTGTCATGGATCGGCACGCTTATTTGCTAGATACTGGAGGTAAGCGGATTTTCAGACGTGTTCGTACTATGGCATGATCTTATTTGTGGCGATCTTGAACACTGACACTGTACCGGTGGCCGATTTAAACGTGATCTAATTGGATCCATGTTGTTCACTTGGTGGCTACCGAACTTCAGGATGCGAGCATTTATGCTGAAAACTAGTGCTCGTCAGAAACACATGATGGTCGGTGAATCTTTCAGCTGTAAAACCATTCCGGTACCTAGCTGCCATGCTACCCGAATGAAGCACGAGGTCTTGGATACGGCCAGGTTGCCCAAGCCTAGACAGGAAGAGCCGAGAAGCAGAGGTCGGGTTCGAACCACGGACCTTCCGGTTAGTAAATTCGCGCTCTAACCACTTGAGCTATCTCGCCCCCTGAACAACGGAAGATTTCACTATACACTGACAGTGGAGCGATTATGGATTCCCAATGGACTACCCATAGTTGATTACGAGGATATCAGGAGACCAATTTGGACGTTCGTATTGTCCGAAAAGATGACAATGTCGGTGGTTCTTAATTAGCGAATCAACGCGGATTTGCGAAACTCCGGTAGCTACAACCACCGTACGACAAGTACGTGGTTAGTACAGCTGACAATGATGATGATGACTGAATCCTTGGTTAAAGAAATGCGAACAAGTTGAAAGATAAAAATAATATTTCTCTACAGGGAACGTTTTTTCGCACTGCCAAAAAATGCACGCTTTTGCGACGATAAACGATCCTGATTAGATGCCAATTTTCGAGAATCTGGCTCATTATTCATACGGACCCGACAGTCGGTCCTTTTGCCGAAGACAAGACCCTGGGTCACTGTATACCGTGAACTCAAATAAGCCGAGACAATCATCATCATCATTGTCAGCTGTAATAACCGCGTACTCGTCGTACAGTGGTTGTAACTGCCGCAGTTTCGTTCACCGATGGTTTGGGGAGAGGAGGGGTAGGGTAGCTGCGCGTTGCAGGAGAGCTGATAAATTGGTGCATGAATCCAGCGCTGTCAGTGGGCTGTCAACTGGGGGTTGGGGTTGGAAAAGGAGCTATGTATTGAAGACAATAGCTTGGATGCAAGAGTGCCATTGAGGGCGCGACTAGGCCATATCTGACAATGCCTAGACAATGCGGTTAGACAGTGTTGCATCACATGGCGGTGCTTTGAGTCGTTTCGCAGGCAATCAAATAAACACAAAATCCTTTCTTTATTCAGGAAAATGAACACCTTCGAGATATCGCAGCCAAATGCGAACGGCGGATGGCAACGGCGGAGCACGAAATGGAAGAATTGCGTACCAGTTTAATGCAATGTGAATCGATGCTGCACGACCAACAACGAGATGCAGACGCGCAGGCTCATAAATTACGTGTTCTGACGGAACAACTTCAAGTGAGTCAGTCAGGTTACCATGGTACGAGAGACAAACACAAAATCATAAGGTGAGGTGTTGCCAAACACAGGTCTCCTTCAGGTGAATGGCTATCTTGAATTTGGACGATAGTTGGGTCAATCAAAGTTTAGTTATGTGCTTTCATGGCACTCCGCCCAAAACATTGTCCTATATTCTTTCGACTACAAGGTAAGGATCGTGCACACATACGGATAGTCCCATCGGAGTAAGACCGTTTGTGGGACGACTCAACTGGTTGGTAGTCTCGCCAAAAGTGGGAGCATGAGTAAACGACAGTGTACGTACCCTGAATTTCGACAATAACATAATCATATTCGAAAACCAATGCGTTACTTTTGTGATCCTCCTTTGTAGCACCTGCAGAGACCATTCCTGTAGTGTTCATGGAAACCGCCACTATTCCGTTAGGAAGCCAACATTCTACAGAGGTCACCGGGAATTGTAACAGAGGTTCTCCTATCGGTTCGAAGTTATGCGCGATCTAGGTGTAAATATTCACATTCTGTTGTAGTTGCTGTCTAGTGATGGAACTGCTAGAATTGGGGCTATCAACACAACCATACTGAACGCCAAACAGGTGGTGACACTGATGTGCTTGGTGTGACGGCATCAATCGATATACCAGTTTAAGGTTTTGTATGACGGGGACCTCCAGCTGCTGAGGTCATGGCGGTGCAATTTTAGCTAGTCGTCTCTCTCTCTCGAGAGATCATTCTTTAAAAAGACTACTTTGTTTGGCGCTTGAAACGCATTTGGGTGATGGATAGCCTCAGAGAAGAGATCGCTTTAAGTAGGTGTTTTGAAGTGACCTCTCTCGACAGCACCTTCAGAAACTCAGCCAACATGATCCCTATCGATACTTTGTTTTTTCTAGGAGGCATATAACCTTTCAGAGGGGTCGACCATAGGTGGATTATTCTGGAAAATGGTCTTAGCACAAATGAGACTCAGGTCATGGGATTCCTAGGAAGGTTTCTCTTATGCCAGCGCTCCGGTAACAGACTGGCGTAAAAACGAGCACGCGATGCGCCTGAAGGACACTAAGAGTTGGGAGGTGTGGGGGTTGTATATCCGAAGATATCAACCTCAACACCCATTTACTGGACCTGGGGAGGCGATCGGATGTTGATGGGATACTGTATGCTCAGCATGATGGATATTTGTAATAAACTAGCAGCTGGTTTCCTTTCATCAAAGTACCCGCAACATCAAGCTAGACACGTCGGTACTATCGTGCAAGATACTGTTCAAATGCATCTTTGCTTATCTCAACGTATCTGTGAGACGCAGTTGTTCAGGCTGTGTAAGCCAGCTGTCTATTGCCAACGAACTTGGGTTGTTATCGAAACAAGTTCAATTTCGACTGAGCATTTTGCTGCATAAAAGTACGTTCCCTGGTCTGTTTGGCCACGGTTGGCCTTGATAAAACCACAGTGACTACACAATACCACACCATGGTGGACCGTAATTGATCAAATTCGTCGTAGACTGAACAAAGGGTATCAGCACTGTTTGGCACTGAACGATGGACAAATACTTCCCATTTTATCCCACCGGATTATCCAGACTCTCATAGGACAGGATGCTGTATAAAAAACACCTCCAAATTGGAATTCATCAAGCACTATTCTGCAGATTTCTGACAAGTGCCCTGAAGACGCCTAACGTCTATCAACCTTTCGGAATCATTAAAATCAAAGCAGACGTCAAGATTGGAAAATGTTTGGGACCGATTGGAAAGTCATCGTTCCAGAGGGGTTTGGTAAACAATCGGTGGATTTATTGCTGGGCAACGTTTCGCTTTTGACATAAAAGCTTCGTCAGGCCAAGTGAGTAAGTAAGTAGGTTGATTGGATTTTAAGGCAGTCAGGGAACCAATCCGTGAGATTCCTTATGACTAGTGACGTGATCAGTGCTGGCGCCCTATTAATGCTGAATCTTTGACTAACGCCTGGTATTCCTCTGCGTTTCTCGGTGGTCTGTTAAGGGAACGCTTATGCTCACCGATCCTGGTGTGTCATTCCCTGGCTGTTTGACCTTCGTACGGTCGTTACATCTTATTATTACACACAGTTCCTAGTCCTACCAACCGGCGTACGGTCGATCTTATTATTACACACAGTTCCTAGTCCTACCAACCGGAAGGCGATCCTTCCATGACTGCCTTAAAACCCAATCAACCTACCTACTTACTCACTTGGCCTGACGAAGCTTTTGTGCCAAAAGCATAACGTCGCCCAGCAAAAAATTCACCGATTGTTTATCAAAACCCTCTGAAATAGATGTCAAGAGCTTTATAGGACAGGAATACGTCGCCATCAGTCATGCTCGTCAGCTTTCAAAACCGCGTACTTGCCCTATAGTGGTTTTAGCCGTCACGGTTTCG